CCCTGCTTGCTCCCCCTTTCCCAAGCCCCCACCCCCCAAGTCCAAAGGCCTGGACTGAGCTCCTCCGCTTCTCCCCCATCCCCAAGGTGAACCAAAGAGCGCACACACCTCCAGCCTTATCTTTCCTCCAGCACATCTTTGAAATTCCAGATTTCCCCTCAACTCCCTTCATCTTCCCCCCAAAACTTTTATAACTTCAAACCTTTGTAACTTCCTAGGCTAAATAGCTACCCTTCCCCCTAGTTCTCCCCTGGATCGCTCCCTGCCCCTCACTCCCTCCCTGCGTGGGAAGAGAGGAGGGCCGTTCAAAATGGGCAGAATTAGAAAGAGGGAAAGAGTGGCCACTTCAGGGACCCCTCCTGGCCTCCTGGGGACCCAAGCACCCCGAGGAGCCGGTTCGGCCCCCTCCCCCCACGGTGCCTCGTCCTGAGTTGGGAAGGACACGGAGCCGCAATGCCGCATTCACGCTGGGGGAGGGAACAAGGGGGAGGGGGGCCCGGAGGCACCGCATAAAGTTTGGTCCCCAGGAAGCGCTGAGTTGGCGAGATTTGGGGTTGGGTGGGGATAGGTGAGAAGGATGAGGTACAGAAGGGACATGGCCCTAGATGCCCCCTCAACTTGAGTGGCTCCTTTCCCTCCATGGCCTGGGGCTCCCTCCCTTCTTGCGACCCCGTTGAGGGGTGCTGAGGTGAGATTAGATGCCCGGGACAGCTACGGTGGGGGGGCACTCATTTACCGCACGAATATTTTTTGAGCATCCACAGCTTGCTAATCACTTTCTAGCCTCCAGATAGATAGTTCGGTAGAGTTGGGAGCTGAGGCCAATGAAAAGTGGAGGGTCTGGTACTACCCCCCCTTCCCTGTAATATCTCCTTTCCTTCTTGCAGGGACTTCAATGCCCTCCTACTCCTGCTTTTGAACCATCTCGGGGCAAGGGGTTAACCCAGTCCCGACGCTGTCCGGTCTCTCCAGCTTCGCACAGCGGCGGAGCCCACCTTCCCTTCTGTGTCCTGGGAGGGAAGGAGTTAATCTAGCTCCGGGCCCGCGGCCTCCAGCTGCGAAGCGGCGGCTCTGCGGCTGCGCGCCGCCCGCCTAGTTGCGGCCCCGAAGGGGTTAA